CACTTACAAAAGAAAACACTTCCTTTTAGAAGATGACACTATACCATTTATTATGAGGTTTGTGATATATAACAAACTCTATGGCTTGTATTGCAGGATCATCTATATCTAACGTTACAACAGAGTCGGGGCCAGCCTGCTTGTATAAACAAGCGTTCACTTTCAGTAATAGTTCACAAGTGAAACTTTCATATATAAAACATTTGATATTTTTACAGAGATTCTATCCTGACAATGAAGTGAATGAACTTACTTGCATAAAAGGAGATCGAAGTGCCTTGTTCTTATATACTGTGCTCCCATTTGGACGACAGCCAGGAAGAATCCACTTGCTAATAGAATGACAGATAAATAGGATTGTAATATGCCTCTAACAGAAAGTTCAATTAACCTGAAACATAGTTAAAGTTAAGCCTTACTCATTCCCAGGTTTGATCGCACCCCAATGAAGAAATAAGCCACTAGCGCTTCTGGGAACTTTATAATCAATCAGCACATGACCTGACATGGGGGCCTTAATATCAACCTGTTAAATCAAACAGAAACTATAAATATACTCCCTAACATATTTCACAGATATACGTTAAATGCCAATGAGGATCATTAGCAAAACGATGCAATTCACTTAGGACTCTTAATGAGCTACAGGTCCCATTGACAAATATACTTCTTGTAAATCACTAACATGTATGTGGAGTCAATATTATCAATTACACTAGCAATACCAGCTGAAATACCTGGAGTTCCATATTTCTTTCAAGTTTGAATTTTTGAGAATTCTGCGAAAAAGAAAAAACAAGATAAAAAACATTTATATAAGATTGAAAAGATAGAATACAAAATAATCGACACAAATGTGACTCAGTAGAGCCATTCACCCATTTCCTCAATGTGCTTGAAGCCCTCAAACTAAATGCAAATGTGATGCCCAAATACAATGAGCACATACAGATGATAAATGTCATAAGCTAATAAGGAAAATAGATTCAAAGTTCAAAATTTTTACCTCCGAAGAAGGGTCGGCTGCAAACATGGCCTTAAGTGAACAAGACACTGAAGGCTGATGTGCCATTGGAAACTTTCCTTTCTGAAGAGGAAATCTTTTAACACGCAATTCATTTAATAAAGGAGATTTCCTTAACAATGAATTCACTTGAGACTCAAACAAGGAACTACCCCCAAAATAAGGAGGGGAGCTGATTCTTCTATGATATACAGACACCCCAGAAGAATGGAATCTCGCCTGCAACAAGTTACTCCCAAAAGTATTGCTCATATTCCACTCCCAGTTATCACTATTCCAAATCACAAGCAACTACAGCTCCAGTTACTAGTCATGCACAAATACATACAGAATCTTGCCCTTCTCCCTGCATTCGAGGAGAATACTACAATTCCAAATACGGGTACTTCGAGGTTAGAAATTCCCAAATTGATCACATTTCAGTCATAGCAGCACTCCATATACAAACTGCATTGGGATTTATTAAGCGGGGAGTAATTGAAAGTGGGAAAGGAAATGACAGGATTTTGCAAAAGTGATGACTGGAATTCGGAAAAGAAATGAGGGGAAGCTTAGACAATGGAAGAGTTGAAATGTAATGAAGGAGCAAAAGAGACGGTTTACACTGCATACTGTGAAGACTGATGAGGTAATTGGGGAGTGGAGAAAGCAAAGTGGAAAGCAGAGAAAACGTGGAAGGAAAGAAAATTGATTCTTTGTAACCCGAAGAAGGAAGACGTGAATACTTTTTTGCATGGAGAGGTGAGGTAATCCGGGGTTTTGGGAGACAAAAAGAGCATTTTATTATTTCAAGACACCCAACAAAACACAAAGTACAGGATCAGCCAGCTAAAGCTAACAAGAACACAATTCTTTGTCGTTGAAGGAGAGTTTCGGTATAACCATTTTCATTATTTACTTTTAAAAGTAACTATTAATTCATTATCATAATTATATATCACCATTGATTGTTATTTTTCCTACTTAGCTACTCATGGAATAAATATTATTGAGGAGTTCAAGGAGAAAACTCTCTAGTAATATTCATCATATACGATAGTACATAAAAAGAATATTTAGAATATGTGATCTTAAAATTTTAGAAATTTCTTTATCACGAATAGAAAGTCTTATTTGTAATCGTAATTCATTTGACTCAATTAATTTCAATGACATTTCTTCATTAGCATGTAGTAAAGAAGAAATACCAAGAAACAAATATGGTTTGTAATCATGATGATATATTATCTTGACTTATTAAAACAATACTCCCTCCGTCTCTTATAACTTTGTCATAAGTTATACACTGCATTGAAGAAGTATATATTGTAGACATTTTTTTGTGGATTTAAGAGATATGAAATTTAATTTAACATACATTAACATGGATGGTATGGGATTTAGTAATTTTATCCTAAGACAAATTATTTAAGATTAGAAGATGATTAAATGTTATGGGGAAAACTGTCCAATAGGTCCTCGAACTTTCATAAAAAAGTCAATTAAGTCCTTCTATAGGAGGTTCTGTCCGGCCATCGCGATTTAGGGTGGTTCCCGGTGGAATTTTTTGATGAAATTTTTTGAGCATCTTATTCATCAGGTCTAGTTTACTCATACCAAATGTCAGCTAAAATTCAATCGGGAACACTTTCAAATTAATTCGTGAAGATAATTGCGCATTTTTGTGTTCTCGAATTAATTTGAATACGTTTCCAATTGAATTTTAGCTGAAATTTGGTATGAGTAAACTAGACTTGATGAATAAGATGCTCAAAAAAATTCATCAAAAAATTCCACCGGAAACCGCCCCAAATCGCGACGGCCAGACAGAGTCTCCTATAGAAGGACTTAATTGACTTTTTTATGAAAGTTCGAGAACCTACTTGACAGTTTTCCCAATGTTATGTATGAGTATCAAATTTATCTCTTAACTAGTTATATACTTTTGTTTTTGTTCTGGGGGACATCAAGTTTTGCCCATGAACTTTTACCGTAGATGATATGTGTAGTAACATTAGTCATTAGTTGTGGATACTTGGTGTTGTTCCATTGGCCGGCAAGTGAGATGCCTCAAGCAGTGTGTATAGTCTATTCTTGAAGCAAACCAATGCCTTTGCACATGTCAAATTGTATGTGATTAATCACAGGTAGATTCTATGGTACCCTTAAGGTATCATACCTTTGTCCACATGGACCAATAGAAGTGATGCAGTTGAATTAATTAAATCTAAATTAAAAGGAATAGAATGATGGGGACCAATCAAATGCATGATAGGTACGGTACCCCAATTTTTAAAAAGGTACCGGAGTTCTCACCTTAATCACAAAGACGTGCGATAAGCATGCTGGCAACACTCTACTGTTAAGCTAGCTAACAACATCATACTGATAAGGGTGATGACATCCTTCAAACACGTCTCACTCTTCCACGTATACACAAGCTATCCACCCCACTCCAGAAGCAATTCTTGGACTACCTTGCTATCACAGTACTGTGACAAGCAGTGTCATGTTAAGTCATCAGTTGCCTACTGATTGGCCAAGTCTTCAGCATCCTGCTGCCAGACTGGGCTACTAGTAGCCTGCTACTCATCACTAGTAGTCCTCAATCATTTCAGGAATACTTTGGTTCTTGTCTAACTTCATCTCCTCACCAAACTAAAAGGGTCATTAACCTTTGTTACTATAAGTGTCGCACCATATGAGGTAGAGACTTCCACTGTCAGTTTCAAGGTCTCCAAAAGACTTTGGAACTTACTCTATTAGAGGGGAAACTTTGAAAAAGCGAAAATCAATAAAAGTCTATTCCTCTCTAGACTTTTATCTCACTAGAGACCATCACCGCCCATCAATGGCATTCATCAACATCACAAATCTTTCTTAAAAGGAACCCCGTAATTTGATCATCTACATCACCACTAGGATAGTATGCAACCTCACTGCCCTACTATACATGAACTGGCCGAAGACGCCAAACGGATGAAAAGAACCATCAAAGGGATGCGTAGTTCTCAACTCCACAAAATCGTTGCTCACCCCTACGAGCACTTCAGCCTAATGCAAGTTGTTGAGTTCTACTTCAATGCAACTGTTGTTGATGGTTCCATCTTCTCATTCATCAAACAACATTGGTATCCAACTATTTGCTGACACCATCTAGAGAGGGGTGAGAGCTAGAGAGAGAAAATGATGGAATAAATGAATTTCCAACCATTTATATGGCTTAAAAGGAGAATATTTATAGGACAAATGTGATCTAGGCTGTCAGGTTTGGGCATGACAGGCCCAAGTACATAAAAGGGCTAATATATGTTATAAGATTAATTCTAATGGGTATGTATGAATAAATAAAGTGTACAATACTATAAACAATAATTGTTGAGCGTATGTGGGTCGTTGTCCATGCCCAATAGTCGTGAGACCGGAGGTCCGAATCCATATGCTTTATCAATTATGTAAGAGAGTTAAGTTGATGGTTAAAATTACATCATGTGTTATTTCATAATATGTACACTCTGAGTAAAGATAAGAAGACACTGAATAAATGTGGATATCGTATGAGGACATTCCGACATGTCATCACACATTCATTGGATAGTGATCGATGACATACTTAATTTTTTCATCCTCAAATCCCTAATGAATATAAGCCACAAAAGAGAATCTCCTTGAAATGTACACATTTAATGTATTTATAGCATTACACTTTTAGGCATTATAAGAGTGGAAACATGCGAGTATTTTACATAGATTTTTTAATTGTTCAATTGTATCATTATGAACATTCATTCATATAAATGAATTTAAGTACATCCTTTATTTAGATGATATCATACTGTTTCAAGGAACTTCTTATATATCAAATAGTTCCATGACTTGATTGTCTTTCTATTTAAGTTTAGATATTATTTCTACTTTTCAAGATACTTACACACAAATGAATATATATATATATATGTGTGTGGGCGCGCGCGTCTATGACACCACCAGAGAAGAAATACAATCTATCCTTCTTAAATACTCTAAAGTCATTATTCTATCATCATCATCATATAACAAAGATCATGAAGAGTTATAGTGTAACCGCTTTTCTTTCCTTGGTAATTTTGTTGAGTCTTCTTCCTCCGTCTATAGGTATGTTTTCCAATACCTATATGAATATAATTAATTCAACAACGTTATTTTAATAATACCTAAATTGGTATTATACTATCTGATCTATTCTGTTGTAACAAAAAAATTTACTATAGCAATCATTTTACATGCATGGTATGGGAGTTAATAATTTTATCATAAGACAAAAGATAATAGATTAGAAGATGATTAAATGTTATGTATGAGTATTGAATTTATCTCTTACGCAGTTTTATATTTCTGTTTTTGTTTTAGGGGATGACATCAAGTTTTGTCCAGGAACTTTTACCGTAGATGATGTGTGTGGTAACATTAGTTGTGGAACCTTGGCGGTGTTCCATTGGCCGGCAAGTGAGATGCCTCAAAAGTGTGTATGTTCTGCTCTTGCAGCAAACCAAAGCCTTTGCACTTGTCAAATTGTATGTTATTAATCACAAAGACACGTCTTTCCTTAAAAGTGTTTTTCCACCATATGTATTCAAAGCATTTTAAGAACATCAATAAAACATTATTCAGTTAAATGATTTTTTGCTTAGACTTAGATATTCATTGTCATACTATATATCCCGTATTAAGGTGTGATATGCATTGGTTGTAGTTTAAAATCTCAAAAAAAAAATGCATTGATTATAAATAAATATCTAAATCGAAACAAAGTTCTAAAAACAAGGGAGGGGGAGAGGTCAATACACATTCTCACAATCAAATGACATATAACAATTCATATGTGCATGCACACACGAATGAAATCACACAAACAAATAAAGATTTATATGTACACATATATATTTAGGTTCATATAAGAAACTGATCTAATAAAAAAACTCTTGTTAATTATGATCATTGATCTAAAAATGAAAGGTCTCGGGCAATTTTTGAAGTTAAAATCCGATGTCACAAGGAAAACTTTTAATGAAAGATGATGAAATTTCACTGATAGAGTATTAATTCTAGAGAGAAGTGAGAGCTAGAGAGAGAGAGTGAGTAATTGTATTTCTCAAAGTGGAAAGAATCCCCCATAATTAGCCCCTTGGGGTCTATTTATAGGTAAAAATGCGGATTTGGGCCCCTAGCCTTGGGCTTAGGAGGCCCATTACAATAATCATGCCTTCTTTGGGCGAATAAGGCCACTAATGGGCTGAGTACAACACTTAGTACAAAAAATAGGAAAATACATTCTGCCCGGACGAAGTCCGGACGATGCGGTCCATGGACGATGCGATCCATGGACGATGCGGTCCATGGACGATGCGGTCCATGGACGATGCGGCCCACGGATGACGCGGTCCATGGACGATGCGGTCCAAGTAGATCAGGCGATATCTTCTTCCTTGGACGCTGCACACCTCTGGCCGATACGGGTGTCCCGCTGGTGTCCTTGGGCCATTGAGTACGTGGGCTATGGGGTCCAGGCCCATATACTCTATCAGGAGTCCCCCACTCTCTGAGCTGAGATGAAGCCGAAGCGAAAGGGAGTACTTGTTCCTTCCTGTCTGGCCGTTGCGTGAGTCTAAGGCGTTTGATTTTGGATGAAGCGGTTCCCTTGTTTGATGTGGACGAAGCGCGCTTGGGAATTCATAGCATTGATGCGGGCCGAAGCACACTCTGCGGGAGTGCCTTTGAAGACGAGGCGATGCGCTTTCTTTTTTGTAGATGATGCGATGAATCCTCGGTGGATAAGTTGGCATGCTTTCCTCGTTATCTTGTTGGGGCCGAAGAGCTCCCATTTATCCTTTTGGCCGTAGCGAAGACCTATTTTCATGAGATGAAGATGGTTGATTCTGTTTATGTAGACGATGCGATGCGCACCCTTGATTTGTCATGCAGCCGAAGCGTTTTGACTTATGAGTTTTTGTTATGTTGAGACGATGCGGTCTTCTTCAGTGTACGCAGCCGTTGCGATCCTCTTGCATTGGTGGACGTTGCACTGCTGGTGAATAAGCCGATGCGCGCTGCTTTATGCTGTGTAGCTGATCTAGTGATTTTGTAGCCAACGCAATCCTTAGTATTTTGATGGCTAGCTGATGCGATCTTTTGTTATTGGCCGTTGCGCTCTCTCTTTTTGTGGCCGATACAGTCCCCCAGTCCCCCACTCCTTTGGCCGAAGAGCATCTGAGGCACAAGGGAGTAATGAGCCGATCCGATACCTATGCGTTTAGTCGTGACTCCAACCCTTAGGCGAACCTGTCCAAGGTAACCCTGTGGGAGAACCCTTGGACGAAGGCCGCATTGCCAGGGTTATCATCGACGATGCGCGCACAAGCAGCCGTAGCGGTCTATTTAAGGTTCTTTGGTTTGTTGTGAGGACGTCGAGTTTAGGCCGATGCGTTCCCCTTTGGAGTTTTGTAGTAATTGGGCCGCAGCGGTACTCGGCCGATGCCCTGTTCTTTTTTACGGCTGAGTTGGGCCGTAGGGGTGCTTGCTTGAGTGATTTTGAATTGACGCCCCTTGATTGGTTGGAAAAGAGGTGGCCGTTGGTGGAGCCAATGGGATGGCGCCACGTGTAGTGACCGTTGGATCTTTTCTATAAATACCCCCTTATTCCGAAGCCGCCTCCTTATTTGTGCTTTGCTGTTGTCGAATTGCTGCTGAGATTTCTAGAGAGATAAAGTGCTTCCCAGAAATCTTCAAGTGTTCTTCGGATCTTCACCCACTCCAAGGTTAGGTTCTTGAATTGTTCTCCCTTTTTTCTTTATACTTTGCTTCCTAGGGGGTTAGATCTAGTGTTTCTAGGAAAAATCACTTTGATCCTCGAACAACCCTTAGGACGTAGCATAGTTGTTATGCCGTTCCCTGACGGCCGTAGCGTCCCCTCCCCAATTGATTTAACAGCTTCGCTGAACGAATCTGATTGGCCTTTTGACGACGAGGACACATCTCCTGGGGTGGATCTAAGAGTAGTGGAGGCTTTTGAAATTGAGATGGAGAACACTGCGGATTACCGCACCTCTGTGGACGAGGAGCGTCTAAGTGCCGATGCGGGTTCTCAACCTTCTGGTGAGGACGAAGCGAGCTCCGAGCCCCGGCTTCGCGAAGATAATGCGGGTGATGCTTCATCGGCCGCCATTCCCTGTCCACCACCAATCTCGTCTGTTCCGGGTGGCGCGTCGTCCTCCGGGGTGGTGAAGAGACGTACATCGCGTCGTCGGAAAGGTGTATCCGGAGGGCTTTCACAGCTTGATCTGACGAACCTCTACATCATAAAGCCGGAGGGTTCCCAAGGTGAATATCAGGTGGCACAGCTCTACGTCGGTCCTTATGGGAGGGTTAGGGCGCCGAAGCCGACGGACCATGTTCTGGATCCGCCCCCCGGTTACTTCGGAGTGTATCCGATGAGCTTCTCCCAGGGTTTAAGGTTTCCTCTTCATCCGTTCGTCGTGGAGTATCTCCATATGATAGACCTTCCACCCGCCTTATTAACCCCGAACAGCTATTCCCTTATTGTGGGGTTCCTTATCCGATGCGATGAGCTTGGTATTGAGCCGACGACGGCGTTATTCACAAACTTGTACCGGATCGGTCGGGGTAGCCATGAGAATTGTGCTGGATATGCGGCCCTCCAGCAGTTGCCGAAGAAAAGATCCTTTACTGACCTCCCGTCGTCTATTCATGGGTGGAAGAGTAAGTTTTGCTTTGTGAAGCTGGCCGGTGGGGTGTTTTTTCCTTCTCAAGGTCACAACGGCATCTTCAATTTGCACAACCCACCGAGGAGCCCTGAGATTGATGCTCAAGTGGAGGCGTTCTTGAAGGGTGGGCCGCGGAGCGTCCACACTTACATTACTGAATTCAAGATAGCGGCTCTAGGGATGATGCGGTACCATATTCCCGGCGACCCTGATTGCGGATTATGGCCGAAGATATCCGGCTACTTTGAGCAGGCCGATGGGCCCTACTTCGGTGTCCCGGCCGATGCCGAAGGTTGATCACTTTCCTTTGGCTCCCGGTCCCTTTTGCTTTACTTATTTTTCTAACTCTTGTTTTTTGTGTCTTACAGACTTCACCATGAGCCGAAAGATGTTTATGTCCCAGGCCAAAAAGCTGGTGGCCAAGGAGATGGAGGCAGCTCAGCAAGCCGAAGCGTCAAAGGGTTCGGGCGACGGCTCGAAATCTCAGGCCGAAGCGGCGAAAAAGCCGGTAGTGAAGCGGAAGAAGAAGCCCGATGAGGGCCAGCGCACCTTGGCTGAGACGGGTCTGGTGCCGGGCCAGGCTGCCAAGAAGACGAGACGAGACCCTGCTTCTGGTGGTGCTGCTGCAGTCGCTGAGCACGCGTCTGAGATTCCGGTGATTGAAGACCTGACGCTGGACATTGCGTCGTCGGCCCTTGCTCCCACTCAACCCGGCGCTGTTGCCAAGGAGAGTACCCGCACCGGCCGTGATGTGGCCGCGGGCCTGTATGAGGTGACGGTCCGGTATCCGACGAAAGGCGGGCTCTTCAATGAGAAGGTATCTGGGCATGACGTCCTGTTCCAGGCTATCCCAGATGAGGATAGGGCGTATTTACGCCGGCAAGGCAAGGAAGTGCGCCTCTTTGATGGCGGGCTGGACTTCGTCGTCCAAGTAAGTGTCTGAGTTCGTACTTGTAACATTTGCCCTCTTTTTTTTTTTTTTTTTTTTTTCTTGTTTTTCTGACCTTGGCTTTGTTTCTACAGGGTGCCTTCATGCTGATGGAGCAGCAGCGTCGGCAAGAAGAAGAGTTTGCTCGCCTGAGGGAGGCTGAGAAAAAGGTTGCCTCTGCTGACGAGGCGTTGGCTTCCCTGGAGCTTCTCCGATCCGAGGTCAGCTCCCTTAAGGAAATGGCCGATGCGGCTGAAGCACGAGCCGCTGCAGCTGAGGATGAGGCGAGGCGCCTCAAAGTTCAGTTGGATGAAGGAACGGCTGCCCGTCGGCTGGCGGAGGAAAAGGCCTTGCAGCTAGAGGCCGACGCGACTGCGGCTGCCGATAGAGCCATTGAGCTCTTCATGGCTGAGGGGTGGAAGGACGAGACCCGTCGCGATTGGACTTTTAACGTCGTGGCGGAGCGCTTCGAGGCGTGGTCTCAGGAGGAAGCTGGCCGAGCCCGCCTGAAGGAGGAGTTTGAAGTCTGGTACGACCTCGGCCAGAGGCGTATGCAGATGTTGGTTTACCGCCGCCTCCGCCGGCGTGTAAAGAACCTGAAGCCCAGGGGTATCGGCCTTCCCCGGATGATGAAGGACCCCGAGGAGGAGCTGAAACTTCCTCTGTCCGAAAGGCAGCCCCCCATCTTGAGCTCGGATGAAGAGGACGAGCCCTGGACCGAGAGTGATGATTACCTCTTCCGGACCTCGACTAAGTCAAAAAATACTGAGGATGAGCAAGATGATGCGGACAGCGGAGCCGTCGAGGGTGGCCCAGGACAGGAAGCTTGATGTCCTTGTACTTAGTTTCTTTTTTCGTTTGTAGTAGTATTGTCAATGGCCGAAGCGCCTTTTTTGTAATGGCCGATGCGCCTTGTTGTGTGTAATGGCCGAAGCGCCCTCCTTTTTACTCATTAATGATAACA